TCACCGATAATGAATAGTTTTCGACAGAAAAAAATCCTAAAGTTGAAAACTCTCGATTTTGAACACCCTATATCTCTGTAATATTTTTCGTTTGACCCCAAGTGTGATAAAATCAGCTCTTCAGGAAGAATCTGAAAATGCGATACATGGTGTTCTGTTTGGAACATCAATGTTACGAGCATGCACATTTTCATGGATTTTTCCCGACTGATATAAAAAGTGTTAGCTCGTGCTGTATATAGGTATACGCCCAAACCTTTTATGATTCAATGCAAGTGATAGTATTCTTGGGTGACTGCTCAAAACATAGTAAATAGAAGTTGCGTTAATTCCTTCACCAAAATTTGAAATTTGTGAAGTTTTTTCGTCCTACAAGATTCAAATATCAATTCAATTTATTTTGTGACTAAAAACTATTCATTAGGGCCAAAAAAAATTTTGTATAGTTATGTTATATTGCTATTGATGAGAATGTGCCTAATTTTATTAACTCCAAGGTTCTATAAGGGAATTAGGTGAATGACAAAACGATTTTCACTCTAAAGACAGAAAATGCGTGTACAAACACAGTATAGAACAATCATAATGATGTATTCAAGGCAGTCCATTTATTGAGGTTGGTGTAATTATTCGTCACAATTATTTTCTCAATTGTTTTGCATCCTATAAGCATGTATGTATATACCTACAGTATAATTTTAACTAGTTTCGAATAGGTATTATACATTGAAGCACATTATCAATGAATATAAATATAAATATCGGCACTCGATATACTCAACTATGTCAATTACAGTGTACAGTGTGGACTTCATTCCATGATATTTGTTGTTTTCCGACACACAGAAAGATATTGAAATAATATTTTTTCATTGTCTATAAGGAACATAAAAATGCCTGAGAAATCACCAATATTCGAGGATATCCTCTGATGAGAAGTAACACCACAGTTTATGAAATATGTAACACTTTTCAAACCTATAGGTAAATAATGATAAATTGATGATAGTTATTTGTTTTACTAGGCAGAAAAGTACAAGATTTAATGCCGCGGCTGATGGTTCATAGCCTAGGCGTAGCCGAGGCTATAGGTAGATAACCAGCTAAGGCATTACATCTTCTTTTCTGCCATGTGAAACATATAATTCTTTCTCGAAATTCGTTTCAATTTCACGCAATGTCCAAATAATCCATCATTTTGTGTTTACCCAAACTCATTGTCAATTTTGATTACCAATTTGATTCAAATTACTTGGAACGTTGCATAGCAACAAACTTTTTCTGCCTAGGCAGTGAAAGTATACCTTTTCTGCCTCTGTCATTTGAAAGCCACATTTAATGTTATTTGAACAAAAAGACTTTTTACCTGGGTAGATAAATCTGTCGTCAACAGTGTCAATGATACACACATAGATACTTATGTGTATGCAACCAATGAAAAATGAGACATTCTAAACACCAAATATAGTTGAAACTTCAAATCTCATTATAGCTGAAAGCAATTTTTGAAGTATGAAAAATGTTTGAAATAATGTGATAATTTGTAATTCAAAAAATGTCACAACACAAATCATACGTGAGCTGTCATTGCCATGCGTGAATTAGACCAAGAATTCAAATTACCATGATATTCGGTATGGACACATCTATTGACGAATCAAAACCATTTCAGCCATGATGGTCCATACGATATGAATTTGCGATATTCATAGGGTTTCAATATTTCAAAACATTTCAATGAAAACTGTAATTTTTGTATCAGTATATTTCCTAACTTCATATACAGGCGGGTACAATAAGCTTCCTATCAAAATAAATGTCACTTAAGTTCTCACTCGGTTTTGTAGTTATTCATAATTTCACCAGGATTTTGATACAGTTTATTTTTGAACCAAGTCTAATCAAAATTTCAGTTTTTTGCTGAACAATGCTAAAACACAGTGGATGGCATTGCTACTTCAATAGAAATAAAAATCTGACTTGATAAAAGGATGTTGGAAAACAAAATGAACGACCACTGTTTGATATAGCTTTCATTACCTACCAATCAATATTATTAGAAAAAACTTGTAGAATGTGAATCATTGGTGATCGAAGATGAACAAAATATTGACTTAGCAATCATCATTCAAACAAACCGCATAAGATGAAACACTCGTCCTACAACAGACTACGTGATTTTATCAATCGGTTTGTTTTCATATTTTTGCCAAATAGTAATCAAAGTAGACAGTTCACAGAATGAGTGACAACCGAGTACAGTACGGATTCACGACAAGTATATACACCCACTCCTTGCAACGCTTGCTTGTTATACATTTTACATAATTATTCTTAAAGGATCGTAAATTCGAGGAATGTTTACATATTTTTGATTGAATAATTAGCGTTTTCGGAAGTAGGTAAAATATTGTGCTATATTCGTATCGTGAACTCAAATTACGATAATCCATATGGGTTATCAAACTCGGCCTTCGGCATCGTTTGACAAATTTCTTATCTCATATCGTTATATATGAACCGTTACGATAATAGTTGAATCGTAAATATCTGATAGGTATCTCTGGGGTCAGTTCCGAAAAGGAGACCTGTTCATCTATCTCTACAGGGTGTTTATTAAGTACGCGTGTAAAAAATTCGTATAAATATATGTCCGAAAGTTATTCGTTTCTGAGATACAAAGTGTCAAATTGAATCCTTATTTTTGTTTCTGGTTAATGAATTTGAGTTGGAGACGGTGTATTGAGCAGAACAGAATCAAGGCTGAAATCTCAGTCATACTTTCAAGCAGAAGTTTTCCCAAATGAATGGTGTACAAGAGAGTTGACGAACAGAGCTCTAGTTGGAGCCTCTGTGTTCAGCAGAAAAAAGAATTGATATTGAAATCTCAATCATCTTCGATCTTCTAGGCGAAAGTTTTCTCTATTGAATGATGTGCAAGAGACTGAACTAACAGAGCTCTTGTGAACAAAAATATTAGTATAATATCAGACAGCCAGACTGCTCTCAAAGCACTCAGTCTCAGAGAGATAAAATCCAAGCTTAGATCAAACTTCATTAGCTTGCTAGAATCCTTGGTGATAACAACAGAGTGAAATGGGGTGGAGGGCAACAAGAAAACCTTCTTCCTTTACAAAGCTAATATTCCTTGAAGACGATATGAACCATTAATTCTGGATGAACACACTAAAGAAAAAGACGATAAAAATACTGCAGTTTGTGCAATCCAAAGAACAGTGAGTCAACACAGAGAGCAGTTTGAAGAATTCGACAGGCGTGAAATTATTGTAATTTTTATAGTTTGTCGCAGGAAATTTGGCCATCGTCATTCTGAGATCATGTTTAAAACATTATCAATAATAATGATAATGTTCTAAATGGCCATCGACCGAGGTCCTTCAGCCACCCATTATCATTTTACCATGAATAGTATTTTTGGGTTTTTTTCGAAAATACGTAAATCATTTTATAAAATTTCTAACAGAAAACAACATTTTTCTTGGCTAATACCACAGATATTGAATTATATCTGTGAATTATTGCAAATATAATTAAATAACTGAACAAAAATGTACAATGAGTATTGTTTGAATATTCAACAGAAAACTACTGCTTTCCTTGCGAATACCACAGAATATTCCAGCTTCCTGGCATACACATCGTCCCCCGAAAACTTGCGACAACACCAATTATTTCTCCTACTCCTATTCGACTTTTTTTTTGCTTTGTTGATCGAACTATATCTATATATATGCATCAACGAGATAAATAGCTATAGTTGAAATTCATTATGAATAATGAAATATGGAATGGTGTGAGATACACAAATGCTATCGTGTGGAAACACCAGGGTGTTGAAATCAGGTAGGGTTGAAGAAACAGTATATTTACAAATGCTAACAGATTTGGACACCAGAAGCGATCAGAGTGTTCAGAGAAGTGAGCGTTTGTATTAGATTAGATTAGATTTAGAATGGGGCCTTCGGGCTATCTGCCTCCACACCGCGACCTTTTCAGATCTATTGTGTCTGCCCTCAAAATCGTTTAGAGTTCTTCGGCGAGCCCCGCCTTCTCTATGAGACTCCATAAGCTAGCTTTCAGATCCCCTGTGTATCTTTGGGTTTTTCCTCACCCAACGTAAGGAACCTTAGTCTTGACAAGCCCTCACAGTGGCAAAGTATATGTACTGCTGTTTCCTCTTCTTCCTGACAGAACCTGCACAGCAGTTCTTCAGTCAGACCTATCGTACTCATGTGTTTGTTGAGCCTACAATCAAAGAGGAGAGCCTATATTCTTATGCCCTGTGAGAAGTCCCACTAGTATTCTAGTTGAACTTCGTTTCTGGCTCAGTAGATAATCTGTGAATGTTGGCGATGGTTTTTAAAAAATTTCTTTTGCCTGTCTCATTCCTGGCGAGTTGTTCCACCATTCTTGAGATTTGTTTTGCATCCATGATTTTATACTAGTCTTTTGTATAGCTTTCGCAATACCACAGAAGGGTTCTGGGCCATTCAGAGCTTTGTTTGCTCCTGCTCGGGCAAGTGAGTCTGTCTCTTCATTGCCCTCGTACCCTTGATGTGCTGGTACCCATGCTAGAGTCAGTCTGTTCTGACTGTCCAGTTCATTTAGGGTTGTGGCACTGCACCATACTAGTTTTGAGTTATTTTGCATAGAGTTGACTGCTTTGATGGCTGCCTGGCTATCCGAATAGATTGCAATGGTTTTGCTTTTAAACTCTTGCCTTATCAATTCTTTCACGCAATGATGTACTGCAATAAGCGTTTGTAGTGGGCATACATTGTTTACAGATGTTAAATTTCACAAATGATTTTTGCACATAAAATATACATTCAAGATTCAAGCAATAACAAAAAGAACACGTTCCTGCCTCTTCTTAATGATCTGGGGTAACTCCGGTGTTTCCCCCATAGTCGAATAGAAAGTTGCTATTGAGTATGCCGTTACCAAACCAATTCGTTCCAGGTGGTCGGCATAGCAAGAAGGAAGAACCTCGTCGACGATCTCGCAAAAAAACTGAGCGATCGCAGAGGCAAGCTGCACTCCCTCCAGGCCGACCTCACCAAGGAGGCGGATATCCTCGCCGCCTTCGACTGGGTGCGGTCCAACCTGGGGCCCGTCCACGTGCTGGTCAACAATGCGGGCATGGTACAGAATACCACGCTGGTCGGCGGGGACACGGAGAAGTGGAGGAAGACCTTTGATGTCAACGTGCTGGGGTTGTGTATCGCCACTAGGGAGGCGATCGCAGGTAGGGCTTCACGAGACCAAGGCCAAGACTAGGGTTTGCAATCCTGAAATACGGATACCGGAAATCCCGGGGTCCTGGTGATATTTTTATACCGAGAATCCCGGAATCACATCCGATTGGATTCCGAGATTTTCCGGATTAGTTTTGACCAATAAGACTTCGCTCTCGTCAACTGAATCAGATCATTATTATTATTCGAAGTTCTTGAAAAATAGTTATTTATTATACAAGGGCAAAAAGTAGTAGATTTTAGCTCCAGGTTGTGTTGTCTTCCGCCGCGTAGCGGAGGGAAACAAAAAACCGTGAGCTAAAATCTTATATTTTTCCCGTGTATAATACACATTTTTTTCCTGTGGCAGAAGAAAGGACGAATTAATATTGAGAAGATATTACATTATTTTGAAATCTGAAAATTATCGACGTGAAATTTTAAGTTTTTAACAGTAGGGACACCTGCGTTGTAGGCATCTTCATCATTCTTTTGAAGTAATCAAATATCTGTTGTCACTTCTGTCAGTGTCATTCTGTGATTTGATTTCTAAAAATTGCGTATTTAGTGGTTGTTTAGTAATATACGTAACCGCGAAGTCGAATGAAAGATGAAAGGACTTGCAGTTCTTTCTCGGAGACGGTATTATTGACTCATTTCTCGGAACTATAGCACACTAAAAGCCATCAACAGTGTATATGTATGTGATATATGTCCGGGAAAAAAGTACTCACATTTTTCCCAAGGGAAAAAAGTAATTTATGAAAAGTGACATTTTATAACCTGCCAACAGAGATGGAATGCCAAACTTTTTTCCCGTCACTGAAAAAAAGTTATTAAGGAAATACTCGTGAGTCATATAAAACGTTTCTTGATAGTTTTAGAGGCAATAATTGATGAACAAGATAATGAGGAAGATAGAATTCCTTTTGCAAGTCAAGCGTCACCTAGTGTGTCACTGACTCAACCACTATATGTAATAAAATATCATCAAATCAAACAAAGGAAATTATACCCTTTTCGAAAATGGTGACAACAAAGGTAGATATCTTCTAACAACCGATAGATTCCACGTGTGAATAAGATCGTGATGTGGATATTAGTGTTTGAGGTCGACGAAAAACTCTTCATTGTCTCGCCTGATTGCTAGCCTCGGCCATCAATTCTGCAGACTCGACTACGACTATAATAAACAGTTTTTCGTCCTTGGGACATAAATAACTATTTCGATTATTCAAAGGCACTGGCTGCATGTGTAGGAGCCGCTCCAACTGACTTTAGGAAGACTTCGTTAATTTCAATGTTCCTCGTTATTCTAATGATTTTATAATTTTTCGTGATAATCATTGTGGATCTCCCTTGTTTTGCAGACATGAAGAAGAACAATTTCGATGGCCATATCATTCACATCAACAGTATTGCTGGTCATAATGTTCCTCAGACGCCAGACTTCAACGTCTACTCTGCATCGAAGTTTGCAGTGACTGCTTTGACAGAGAGCCTTAGAGTAGAACTCAATAGTTTGAAAATGAAAACAAAGATCACGGTGAGTATATTCAGATAATGTGAGCGATGCTTCTCGTTGAATTTCAGAGACTATTTAGGTTATTGAAATATTGAAATAACTGAACTTGTTAGAACTACAGTAGTTAAAACCTTACTTGACCTCAAATCAATAAGCAAGATTGGAATATTTGAGGAAAGACAAACTGCAGTTATTTATTATTCGTTTATACGAACCACCGCATGAAGTTCGGAAGGTAGAAGACAGGGTGTTGGCGAAATAAATACTATCGAATGACACCCTTTTTATACCCAAGATTCTACCGATCGAGAACTATACAGTGCTTTACTCTGATGTACCCCCTTCCCCTTCAAATTTTTTGAACGGGTCGAATGAAAAGATTGAAACTTGGGGTAATGAAATTAATGCATGAATACTAGAGTAATACTACTAATAGTAGTGAAATTGACAGATGAAAATTTCAAGATGGCGACTGGGTGCCATCTGGGAAAAAAATGAAAAGAAGGGGGGGTCTTGTGATAATTAGGTACTTTTGAAGCTTCTGACGGATACTTCACAACCCTAGAATATGAAGTCGATATCTTCACCTACTACAAAATGGCGAAACATTTAATAATTGCCTGAATACAAACACATCAATATGCATTTTGAACACATGCGAGTAAGAAGAAAACATACTTATCTTATACATTGGTGCAGATACTCCAACAGTTCCCGCCAATGGAATTCGCTAGCTATACCAGCAAATCTTTGAAACATCGCAACATCGGGGTCAAGTGACGTCACCCACAACACATGATATTCCGTCCTTCTTTATATCGAGAAACTATAGGCCTGTTCGTTTGTGCTTGCCTTACCTGATGAACTTGATTTTTTTCTATGACTCTCTCCGTTTACATCATGCCATGAACAAGGACAACTATGGAAAAAAATCAACTTTAGCAAGTTCAGCAATACAAACGAACAGGCCTTACGACTACTACAACTACAACTACTACGAGTGAAGCGATAACTCAGTGGTCTGTGTATCTGACCTCTGGGTGACCTCGATGAAATTACCTATATAAAGGGCTCGGCCCTAGGAGATGGGCCTCTGTGACTAACACCTCGCATATACACTCACATTCCTTGGCCAACATCAGCCACCTCTGCACCACGCGGAGGACACAGCACACAGAAGGAGTTCTGTTTTATGTTCTTTCATATCTATATGTGTTTGTAATTTGCGAAGTGATGTAAAAACTATGATGACAAATAAATGATTTAAAGTGTGACCTCCACGGTGGTGACTCGGGTTCAATCCCTCGAGGCGTCAGTTTTTAAAAAAATTTTTAACTCATGTAAATTCTCAAAAATATACTTTTCAGGAGAAAGGTTCATTTAGGTACGTTGTAAAATTTTACTACTAGATTTTATACTTTTAGATTTATAGTTCACTACTTTTAATGAAAAAACGAAAGAGAAAAAATACTGTCATGATGTTGTTAATACTAATTTAAATTATAGGCACTGCAATGTTTGCCCGAGTAACTCAAAATACATTATATTTTGACCACCCTCAAAGGAAAGAACTTTGATATTGATGTTTCGCAGACAAGTTTTCCAAAAACTTAAGTGAATCATCAATACCTATGTATCCGCTGTTAAAAAAATTTAGTACTTAGACTTGGGGGTTGACAAACATTTTCTTTTCTAATATTAATCACCTATTTTTATATTTTTTTCCTATTGTATGCTTCCATAAACTCATGTAATTTGGTGATTAATAAAATACTACTACTACTACTACTAGGACAAGTTAGGTCGGAAGTACTTGCCTTTTTCATGCAGAAGAGATATCTGCCTTCCTCATATTACCTTATAACCTTCTGATAACCATGAGGTTTTGAATATTCACTGGTATGGCTAGACGCTTGTGCTATGAAGTAGCGTATTTCATATATTTTTTTATTTCTCGTTCAGTTTACGATTACACAGAGCCGGATTTAGAGGTCTGGAGGTCCTGGGGTAACAAAGTAGTGGAGGCCCACTCTGACACCTGATTATTTTCCAAATAGAATAAACAATTTTCTCCTCAGTCAATAATTTATATAATTTATTATTTTTTCTACTCACATAACTAAAAGGGCATTTAGCGTACGGATACGTACCACGCTAAAAGATCGATTAATCACGGATTGACGATCTGTGATTTATTCAAAATATTAAACACGTTACCATGGCAACACGATTTCTTAAACACATTACCATGGCAACACAGTTCATTAGACACAGCTTCAGTAATTTGAGACATGTCTGGACTGTCAATATAGTATTAACTGTCAAATGTCATTTTCGAATTTTGTATCAGAATTATTCAAACAATTTTCGTTTGTATCAGAATTTTTCATTGAAAATATATGCGAAATGTAGAATAAGGAAGTGAAATCGAAGAGAATGTTTTGGTACTTGCGTATCTCCAAGAAGTGTAAAAATGAAGCATCCATCTTTGAAAACAATGTATTTATTCTGCGCTAAGCATGACAATAAACGTGAAACAAAGGTTAGTAAGCAATGGACTGGACACATCTACAACCAATACTTATACGTGTCTCGCTGGTTGCATGCATCAGTTGCATCTATTATGTTCTCAATTACCATTCCTTTCGAATTATTTTGTAGGTTAGCAGGAATAGCAGGTATGTTAATGTAATTTTAGGAGTTCGTAGAAAAAGCATAGTATGTAACGCGTTCATAAACTCTTCTAGACACTCGTTTATTAAACACTCGCTCCGCTCTGCTCCGCTCGTGCTTAAAATACTCGTTACTAAAAGGACGTTTATTACACTTGTTACATAATATACTATTACAATCGCAATTTGATATCATCAAAACCAAATACAATAGTGCATTTTTAAAATGTTTTGAAAAGTAGCTTTGAAATTTTCCTCTTCGAGAATGTGGTAGTAAAATAGCTCCGTAGATTGATCTTTTTCATTGTACTTTTTGTCGATCAAAGATACAAATTGAACCAGCTCATTATCAAGACTCTAGTTTCAAGGCATCCATCCTCTTTATGTTACTGAGAAATTCAAATCTCGAACGTCCAGTTTTTCGTATGCATGCAATATTAATATGACAACTGCTTATTATTTGACATATTGAAAATTCCAGATTGGAGTGAAACATTAAGAATAGATCATTTTTGATATTCAAGATATTATTGAACCATGTATGTACAAATTACTGTATAGATAATAAAGCGAACAAAACTTTTTCTTGAAAAACATCATAGGAAAGTGTTTTTTCTCTAGAATTTCGGATGCCTCCCCTAAATCCGGCACTGCGATTACTAGACTCCTGAAACATGACTAAAAAACACCATTGAATATTGTCTGACGTCTTTGTTATCATTTTCAGAGCATAAGTCCTGGAGTAGTCGCTTCCGAGTTTATAGTGGCCAGCGGAATCCAGGTAGGCGGAGAAGTTGCGGCAGGTTTACAAACATTCCTCAAGCCTGAAGACATAGCTAACGCAGTGGTGTACGTTTTGGGAACGCCTCCACACGTACAGGTAATTATTATTGAAGTGATCATACCACTCATTTCAAATTACACGTTTTTGATTGGTTGAAATCTGTGTCGGCGTCAAACAGCGAAATCCGTCATTCTCTGGAATGCCTAGTCATTTCCCAGCGAGCACAAAAACATCTCAGAGATGTTAAAAGTACGAGATTTCGAGACATTGAACCTCCACTGCGATGTTCTGTTCACACATGAATAGAACTATTATAGAACAGCCAATGTCCGCCGCAGGCGGCAATTATCGAGATGTCCTTGATATGTCACAAAACTACCTTCTCCCTAGTTCTTTTTAAAGCCTTTTCATGGACACAACAGAACATTTTCAACGCGTCTTGCGCACATTAAATCGCTGTAAAAAAAAACATTTTCGAGGTACTTTTCTGAAGCCTTTTGTCAAAATGAACTTTTGCATTAGGATTCCATTTCCCTTGAATGAAAAAATGCATTAAAAATTGATTGAACATAAAAATATTTTCTTGATATGAAATTACCTTCTTAATCGGTTTCTGAGTAGTGCTTACTACACACAGACATATATTTGGAAATAGGTTTCCCAATTTTTGAAATGTTCTCCACAATGCATAATTTTGCAACTGCGGAGAAGCTGTGTATAGCTGAATTCGTACTTTTATATATTGATTACACTGAGGCACCGAACAACACATCTTGCATCTGATGGTCATTATCACAAACTATATAAGTCTTCTAACACAATAAACTTCACCAAATTCCTTTCTGTTCGTTAGCAGCGTGATGTGAGCGTGACACGCTGCAAACGCGAATGCCAATTGCGAACAAGAAAAACAAAATCGAAAACAAATCAGAATTCATCATATTGTGACGTAAGCATGAGACGATGTGGTGGGGCAAACAAAGAAAGGGCACAAAAGAACAAAAACAATACTTTCAATATCCTTCTAAGACTTCTTATTTGGTCAGTGCATATCACGTCTCCAAATAACATCTCAATGCCAGCATTTTCGAAGCATCCCAAAACATCCCAGGGATGTTTGTGCTCGCTGGGTTCACGTATTGCCAGCAAACAGCGTAACTCTAATTTCGTACACCGTTTGCCTAATAGTTTCAGGCATTCCCTGTAATAACAGAAGGAAGGTTCATTTAGGTCGAATCAGCTTATAGGTTGTTTAGAAGCAGTAGTCTCTTCTGTTTTCTCAAGTAATTTTCAGAAAAATATACTTTCTAGGAAGAAGGTTCATTTAGGCGGAAAAATAGTCTTCCTTTTTATGCATATGCAGAAAGGAGATTTTCCTTCCTCAAACCTCCGGCAAACAGAGTAACGGCTGAGAATGGAAGTTACGTTGTTTGCCGACAATACGTGAAATGACTAGGCATTTCAAGGAATGACGGATTTCACTAATTGACGCCGACATGTATTCAGAATCGTGAACATGATGTTTTTGTTTTTGTATTCCGGCTTTTGATAGGCTATTGAATACCTATACCTATACATGGCTATGTTTTTTTTATTTTGTATTTCGCTTCCTAATTGGTAGTTTGATCCAATATAATATAAAATGACATGACATAGAAAAGATTTACATGCAGCAGGTTGTCATGGATATGGATGTCATAATATTTTCATATTCAGGGATAAATAGCACTCAACACTATAAACGTCAGACAAAAGGGTGTTAGGCACTGAATTTTTATTTGTATCGAAGAATTTTAGTATTATCGGCATTTCAAAAAAACATTTTGATGTATACCAGTTTTGTAGATAAGAGATGGAGAAATCAAACGGTGGAAGCAACATTTGAAATTTGTCACCTCTGTCAAAAATGATTTCATCGAATGTAAAAGATTCGTCCAATCCTGTATGAAACATATTCCGGGACATATTTACTGAGAAGCCGTTCACATGTATGAGTTGATTTACCATGGCAACCATTTGAAGGTTATACATACATTTTTTCTAAATCTAACTTTCAAGGTCAATAGCTCCGTAACGAATCGCGATAGGCATTTGTTTTATATGGAGTACTAACATTATTTTGACTCATTTTATCTGCCCTAGCTGCCATATACGACATGACCTTTCTGGACACCCTGTGTATATTATATAATATATTAATTTTTCTATTCTTGCAATACATTATATTTCCAGTTCATGATCCTCATGCATGTAATGACGTAATGACAGCACTATGACCATATAACGATACGTGATAATAATATGCAATAAAACTTACGTTGCGGCTGACTATAGAATGAGTCTCATGATGAGTCATACTGACTTCTTTATGATATCGAAACGATGTCACAAACTAGTCACAAGTGCGCCTTTTTATTATAGTTGATCAATATGATATCTGATTTGGAATTATTGGAAGTTATAGAGTAGAGGAGAAACTTTTCTGAAATGTGAAATAATGAATAATTATCAAACTATATTTTATACCAAAGCGACTATTATTTTGAATTGTTTAGGTATGTGTTGTTTCGAAGAATCATAAGTATCAGAACTTTGGTTCTTGTTCAAGTCTTGTTCGTGACTATCATAATTTTCAGATGATTTTTGTTATGATTCTTTTTCAGGTACATGAGTTGACCATCAGACCAGTGAACGACCCTTTTTAAGAACATCTTATCAAGACGGCGGAACAAGAAAAATACTAATCACAAAACAACTCACTATTATCTATGAGAAACTATACTTTTGATGTATTATTTTATACATACACAAGTGAACTAGTAACAGAAAATAAAAAGAAATCGTTCTGACTTTCAACATTGAAATTACAAAAATGATTTTGTCTACGACTATGTGTTTCTTTACTTATCCATTCTTCTACTCTGCTCTTGTTTCAGGAGTTGCACTTTTCCGCATATTTTAGGCCAGATGGGTCCCAAGATACAGGACCTCAAAAACTGGATATATTTTTCGAAAATTTCAAAGTGTCAGGCTTTTCACCTTTAGGAATGAAAATTGGCTGTAATGTACTCATTCTACGAGGAAAATTACCGAAATGAAAATGAAGTTGTACCTCGTCATCTTAGAAAAATAAAAATTGGTGAAATCGGAGCCTATTTAACGAATCGCGGAAACAAATACATCAAAAACACCTTGATATTCAAGTGGAAACTTGTTTTATTACTGGAAAAAAGGTCTAACATGCTAATCATGAATTTACTAAATAAGAAATATGATCCAGAGAAAATTGTAATTTCAAAATGTACAATTCCGTAACTTCATTTTGATCAAAACCGGAATCTTTTGGAGGGCCCAGACAACCGCACTGAAGAACGTAATTTTTCTAATTAATCATAAACGAGAATGATATTATCAAATTGAAAGAAAAAACTCTCACATTCATCTACTTTCTAAGATATCATGTGGAAATTATATCGCCCTAAAGCACTCTGAAGTATTGTAGCTCGAACCCTACTCGGGATTTTTCAGGAGGGAATTGAATAAAGTTGTATACAAGTATCTATGGAATGAATTTATTTGAGTATCAGGAAATTGGAAACACCTCGTATTTGCCAAATGTTTTTTTCCCTTTGGATGCTGGTCCTGTCCCCAGCTACACCTCAGCCTCCTGGGCCTTCTGTGCATGTTGCCAAATGGTTGATTTTACAGCTATCTTTTCTATTTGCTAGATTTATCCTAGGAAATAATATTCTTTTATCCGGTTTCGCAAAAACTTTCATGAGGTGCAATTATAATATTCATAAAATTTCTCCAACTGGTCTTATCATCAGTTCGTGTATCTGAAATGAAAAAATCAAATATTCGAGATATGATGAAATATTAATCCCATGTAGATTGAAATACCAACTTTACAGTGAGGACCAAAATTTCGTCGCTCCCTTGTAACTTTTTTATTTTACAAAAGCGCAATGACTTAGAATTTTGAACAAGTTTGATGGATTATTTTATATCACAAATAAAAATGGTTTTGAAATTATTAAACCTATCCTATAACTTTTTGATTATGACGAACCTTTGGTTCTCACTGTATAGTATATAGTTTATATGATAGAGAGTGTTTCGTAAATTTTGGTGAATAATTCGTGAGATGCTTTCTGAGGTATTTTAATGAAAAAAAGTGTCTATAAACATTTGTCAAAATATGCATCCTAAATGGCTATACGTCCCTTCAAGTAGGTTACCGTGAAGAAGGTTTTTTCCTCGGTTTTTCCTCAAAATATTTCCGAGACCATTCATAAAAAATCATGTGATTTGGTAGGTATATCGCATAAACTTTTAATGCTGATGGATCAGAATTTGAGCTCATGAATTTCAAACTATCAATCTAATAATCATATTTATTGATGGCGATTTATTTTTGACATTTTGCTCCTAGAATTCTCAGATTCTTGAAGAATTTTTACGTGAAAAGTAAACTCTTGGTTTGGGTAGGGGTAATTGTATCATTGAGAAAATTGCAAATTATTCCACCGATACACCGTTATTAACTCCCCCAAATGACATAAAAAAATTAGGTTGTGTTCACTCCTAACCACTTCAGTATGATACGCCTGTGATAGAAAATTTTGAGTTGAGGATCTAACCTGGCGTACAAAAGTTCATGCAGTTTGTGATTATTTTGAAAACTACTAGCCCTCTATCAATATGAACTCATTGAAACACGTTTTTCACGTGAAAAACCTGCAGGTATCATATTCTGAAATACCAAAAATTACCATAAAAACTTGGAAGGGTTTGAAAGTTTGAAAATACCAAGCTCGAATTCTGATTCAGCATTGCAAGGTATCGAATTTCATGATTCACGCATGATGAACGGTTTCGGAAATATATAGAAGAAAACCTTTCCAAAAGGTGTATACAGTATGATGCAAATTTATGGAATAAATTCATTTCAAAACAAGACGACTTCCGAAAAAAATCCAAAAACTAGAGTTCAGAACTTTTTTTATTGTGTATTTTTTCAATTAGACGACCCTTCGATGTTCAATTCTCAGTAGCAGACCTCTGGAAGATTCAGTTAACCAAATGATAATCCATTTTAATCGCAATATTCTTATGCAAAATTCTGACTGTTGGATAGACGATCAGTAGACTTTCAAACGAGGTGTCACATGACCCCTGCTTGTATTTGAAAAAATCGTCCATTACGTCATTACTTCTACACCAGTGACGTAACATCTCTCATATGAATGTCATGAGATGAGGCTTCAAAGATTAAAACTCACGTGTTTTTGGAATTTCTTCAAATGTCGCCCATTTCTGAAATAATGAATTAATTCCATACATTTGCATCATACTGTATATAGCTTTATTTTTATAAAGCATTTTCCGATCAATATTAATGTAGATTTTTACCGCACAGACTTTTACCAATGGTTTATGAAACACCCTGTATAACTACTCTGAACAATATACCCATCTTACGTAACGACGTAACTAACTGATTGACCAACCAACCAACAAGCCAACTAACTGATAACTAACTTCAGGACTAGGTAACTATAATGATCGTATTTTTGCCATGGTGGAAATCTAGGATTATTGAATGATTATTGGAACTAACCTGGACACGTGGTGGGGTGGATAAGACAAAAATAACTCCATCAGCAATGTCTTCTGTTTGAAGAATAACAGAATCATTATCCACAGCATTCTTATACGTTTCGGATGTTCTGAATTCATCGGTGAAGATTTCCGTATCGACCAAACCAGGACTGATGCTCTGAAAGAAACCCCAAAACAATATTTTTTGTTGATATATCATGACAAACTCCTCATGCTAGTTGAGAAGTGAGGAGATCTAGGTATAAGCAAAGCGGATCGTCAAGAATCATTATAAACACCATAATCACATGCAGCTATAAAGGATTCTATTGAGAGAGATTGAAACAAAAGAAGCTTATTGAGAAGAAATCAATCAACATATCGTAGCATATCCGTTATCATAGTGGGATACTATGATATGAACGAACCACATGCCCATTACACATTGGGGATTGCAAAAAGGGCACAAACTGGGTCTGCTGGACGATCACACAATATCTACCTTTTTTCATATTCTGGTTCCCACGAAACGGGATATCCTGATGTAATGTTCAGAGAACATCGTGAGAACCAAGGGAAATAAGGTAGGAGTTGGTGTTCTTAGATTTCTGAAAGTTGTATGCCTCGGGACCTCCCTTGGCAATGTGTTTCAGAGCCTCGCTGTTCGTTGGATGAACGAGTCTTTGGAAAGAGATGTTCTGCAGGTCTCCAAAGTGACCACGAAATGGTGCGATGCCTCAACTCGACGGGTTAATTTCGAGGGGACTGCCAAGGGAGGAACAATTGTTGTTGATATTTCAGAGGAGCATCGTACATGAAAATATCTATAAAATAGAGCTAGATCGCCAACTTTTCTACGGAATTCCAGAAAAGTGAGTGAGTTTGTGAGCGAGGCATCACCCACGAAACGAATTGCCCTTTTTTGGACAGAATCCAACAGTTTCAAGGTATGTTTGAGTGCTGCAGTCCAAATATGCGAACAATATTCCAGAACAGGTCGGATATGTACCTTATAGATCAAAAGCAGCTGACTGGAAGTGAAATAGCTCCTGGCCCGAAACAGAAAACCAAATTTTTGGGATGCACATTTAGCGATTGATCTCACGTGATTTGCCCAAGAAAGGTTATTGCTGATAGTAATACAAGCATCGAAATGGATGTCTTCAAAGGTATGGTTACTCCTGACAAGATTATGTTGGGCACAGTGAGTACGGCTTTTCTAGAGAATAGGCATGCTTGTGTTCTGTTTGCATTGAAATCTACCAAGTTATTGGATCTCCATTCGAGAATTTTTGCCAAGTCCATATTTATGTTATCAATATTTCTCCTTCGTTCGTTTCTGATTTGCCTGGCTGGTATTGGAGCCCTAGAAGAGAAGGCGGTATGGAGGGTACTATCATCCGCAAAGCTGTGTACTGGACATGAAGTTCCTTTCAAAAAATTGTTGATATGGAGAAGAAATTGTGTTGCGGAACACCAGCGAGAGATAGCTAGCTAGCAGGGAATATAGCTGGGGAGGTAAGAAATAAGATGGAAGCTTGGCGAGGAGTCCGTGGTGCCAGACTCGATCGAATGCCTTGGAGATATCATGTGTCTCGGCTAAGGTTTCACCATATTTTTCAATAGATTGCTGCCATATATGTGAGACGTAAGCGAGCAGGTCACCAGTTGATCTCTGATGACGGAAGCCATATTGCCTATCGTTAATAATACTTGAATGTTCCAGGTATTTCATGAGCTCGATGTTGATAGCTTTCTCACTGATCTTTGAAATAATAATAGATAGCAGTGCGATCGGTCTGTATACCTAGTTATCATATTACTCACCGTTACTTTAATTTTGTGTCCTGAAGCGCTCAACTCCATCCTGAGGGATTCAGTTAGAGAAGTAATAGCATGTTTGCTAGCAACATACATAGCAGATCCGCCCTCCAAATTCAAAACTTTATGCCCAGCAACGCTGTTGATGTGGATGATGTGCCCCTTGATGTCATTCTCTTTCATAACCTTCAGTGCTTCCCTAGTAGCCATCGACAAACCGACAACATTCAGCTGAAGAACTGTATTCCAATCTTCAGTTTTTGCTTCTGAGAGATATCCACTTCTCAATGTGCCTGCATTGTTGATGAGGATGCTGACGGGTCCTAGGTTATCTTTCGTCCATTGGAAGGATCTGAGAATGTCTTCTTCTTTAGTGACGTCAGCTTGGATAGGGTGGAACGATCCCTTTTTACCTTCACATTTTTTTGCTAGAGCTTCTAGTCTGTCTTTCCTCCGTGCTAATCCTACAATCTTGGAAAATGTGACTATATAGTTAGGAAATGCTTCATTTGATGCAATGTACGAACTACTTCCTTATTTAATATATGACACATATTGATATTCAATGGTGAAATGACTAAGGCTATGACTCTTTCACTTATCTCGAAATTCTAACATAATCTGACCAATCACAAGCCACAGACATCTTGTATTGACGAGGGTAATATCATGAGTCCTCAAGAACTATCGATAGTATTTCTGTCAGGAACCAACAAGATTTAATTTTGGTGCAACTACGAGTCCGCAAGACGAGTGGGTGTTACCTCGTTGCAATTTGATCATCTCATGGGATATAAGAACCAATCAGAATGGTGAGCCTTGATGGTAAGAAGCTCCTTCCTTTAGAGCCAGTAAGACTAAGTCGTCACGGCAACCACACGAATCTGAGTAGAACATTTCTTGTCACCTGGTATGACATGGAGAGTATAGTTTCATATAGGTAGTGGAATTGTCTCGATAAATTCGATTCGTGCTTACAATAATACTGAAAACTTGTTCTGAAATTGTTCTTATCCATCATTCGGTTGCCCTCTTACGAGCAACCCTCAGAAGTCTTCAAGCGAGCAAGGAATGACGGGGGTTTTACCTTCTAACGTGTGATCCCAAACACTTTCTTGGGCCATCATAAAAATGTCTGCGGTCGTGCTGGGAATCGAACTCACCTACGCTTTTAACCATGAGGCTACGCTGGTCAACCATAGTACTATCGAAAGTTTTGTCCAAAATCTTGAGCCCGATAAAAATGACTATCGATATGCTACTGCAAACACTCATGATATAACCTCTGAGAATTTCATATCCTTGTGATTTCATCGAATTTTTTGAGATTTTGATCTACCTAGCCTTGCTGCCAGATTGTTCAGATTCCTCTTATTATTTTCAGAAACTAGGGGTGAACCCGAAAAGTTGTTGGGCATGCTATCTTATCAAAGAACATTATATTGAAAGTATAAAAAATTACCTCAAGACCATAATCTAGCAACTTTTCTACCAGAGCACTTCCGATACCAGAACTAACACCTGTTATTATTGCAACTTTCCCAACCCAGCGATCCATTGAGAGCACCATTCTGTTTCAACCTTATGATTCAGATCAATTTCGACTTAAGAATTCGTGAAGAAGTTGTTTTTTCTCATTATTATATAGGTACTTTAGGAACCATTGGAAAATTATTTATATGACCTGTACGAGAATTCGTGATATACCCAAATACATAGTACATAGGCGGCTCATGAACTTTAAATTTAAATTTACTAATATTCCATAGCATAAATTCGTTCTGGGAACATCGTATTGAAATTTAGAGGAGAAGGATAAAATGTTTTACTCTTTCTAATAATACCGATAAAAACTCAACTTGATTCTTCAATGGAATATCCTGTTGAAATATGAATTGATATGTATTCTTCAGTGTAGCTGATTAAGCTTAACTGAACGCATATTCCTCTATTTTTTGGAACATTTCGATCCTTTTTAAGGTCCAAAACCTTCTGATGAAATACTTCAAAACATTCCTGTACATCCTCAACTACTCAAGAACATCTTAAAACATTCTGGAAGGTTCTAGAGTATCCTGAAATATTTCGGAACATATCAGAACATTTTGGAATAGTTTTTTGATATCTTATTTTTCATCATGTTGAAATGTTCTTTATAAAATAGGGTATCATCTGCATACAAATTCGTAACATCACAGTTTAGGTTACAAGATGAATCATTCAAGTAGAGAATAAATAAGAGTGGGCCTATAATACTCCCTTGGGGTACACCAATTTCAACTAGCTTCTCCTTTGACAATGTATTATTTATTTTTACCTACGGTCACTATAGAAAGTAGGCAAGAACACCGCACATCGCACAGTTTTCGTTTATTTCGCCAGTCATGATCGCGTAATCGCCATCTATAGCGGATGACATAACTGTCAAGAATTATAATTCAGACTAAACACTGAATGATACACAAAGTCATCTCCACGACATTTAATTTGATTAACACAATATCAAAAATTGGTACATGCATGTTCCGTACATATATATGTCCATCATCAGCCTTATATCGAAATTACATAATTGCCATGGGGATAAAAAAGTTTATGTCACCAACTTTTTCATCATGAAATTATATAGTGGACTCTCATTTATGCTACTTTGTGATCGATATATGTTTGAATGGAACGCCACTGATATTATTTTCGTGTTTATCTATGTGCGTGATGAATCTGTTCATCATATGGTTCAGTATTATTTTGATTTGCATAAATCTATATCATCATAATTTGTGCAGATCTATATACAAACTCAATAAAATATCCTTCGAATATACCTACTCATTATCTCGTTTTTTCGAAGAAGATTCACGTCCTATGACAATGATACACGTATCTCGTATCATGCAATCTACCGGACAATATCCTATAAGAAGGTCCTACACATACAGGGTGCTGCGGTTGTCGACTAATAAATATATGCCAGTTTCATATGGGCAATTTGGTGGTCAAAGACGGCTGGAGTGATTCGAAGGCACAGTGCCATTCAAAGGCAAGCTTTCCTGAGGGCCACGGGTGCAATGAAAACCACTCCAACAACTGCTTCATAGGTCTTCTTTAACTTGCCACCACTTCGGATAGCCTGAGCAGTCGTGAATAGACTGTCTATAACTACATGAATAGTTGAAAAGCGATCCTATCATGGAAATGCCAACAGGTTGCATAATTCAAAAATATAGCCTTGAAAAAACTTCCAAAATCAGTAAGTATACCGGACAGAGAGGCATGGAAGGAAGGACATCTTATCAATACAGATATTGCTATCTACACGGACGGTTCCGAAACCGATGAAGGGTCAGGAGCTGGTATTTATGGGGCCAAGCCAAAGACACGGGACTGATTAGAAACCCTGAATGAACTGGACAGTCAGAAAAGACTGACATACAGATCGACAGGGTACGAGGGCAACGAAGAAGACCAACTTGCCCCAGCAGGTGCAAACAGAGCTCTGAATAATGATCCAGAACCCTTTTGTGGCATTGCGACATTAGGCCCATGATAACATATGGGTAGTTTGGTGGCCAAAGACGGCTGGAGTGATTCGAAGGCACAGTGCCATTCAAAGGCAAGCTTTCCTGAGGGCCACGGGTGCAATGAAAACCTCTCCAACAACTGCTTCAGAGGTCATCTTGAACTTGTCACCACTTCGGATAGCCTGAGCAGTCGTGAATAGACTGTATCTATATATAGCTATATGAATATTTGAAAAGCGACCCTATCATGGGAATGCCAACAGGTTGCATAATTCAAAAATATAGCCTTGAAAAAACTTTCAAAATAAGTAAGTATACCGGACAGAGAGGCATGGAAGGAAGGACATCTTATCAATACTGATATTGCTATCTACACGGACGGTTCCAAAACTGATGGAGGGCCAAGAGCTGGTATTTATGGGGCCAAGCCAAAAACGGCACTGCTTAGAAACTCTGAATGAACTGGATAGTCAGAACAGACTGACATACAGGGTACGAGGGCAACGATGAAAAAGACCCACTTGCCTGAGCAGGAGTAAACAAAGCTCTGAATGGTCCAGAACCCTTTTGCGGTATTGCGAAAGCTATACATTAGAAAAGTACCAAATCATGGATGCAAACCAAATCTCAAGAATGTTGGAACAACTCCAGGAATAAGACAGGCAAAGGAGTTGACAGAATATCTATACTGAGCCAGAAACGAAGTTCAATTAGAATACTAGTGGGACTTCTCACAGGGCATTTTAGATCGTAGGCTCAACAAACACATGAGTACGATAGGTCTGGCTGAAGAACTACTGTGAAGCTTATTCTGCCAGGAAAAGGAGGAAACAGCATCAGTACACATACTTTGAACTGTGTGAGGGCTTGTAAAGGTGGGAACAGACCAAGCAAACAGTGTTGCGCAACAGTGGAACAACACTCAAGAAACACACAATTTTACACAGTGTGTACGTGTTACGCAACAGTTGTGCAGCTGTTGCCGAACTGATGGTCAGTGTTCGCTCCCTAGGCAAAACCTCAAAGGAGATGTGGCCCAACAGTTTGTGGAAAATGCTTTGTCCTCACGGAAACAAGTTAGGCAACAGTTGCCCACCTGTTTAAACTGTTGCACAACAATGTTTGCTTGGTCTGTTCCCACCTTAAGGTTCCTTACGCTGGAAGAAGAAAAACCAAGAGCCCAAATTCACACAGGGGATCTGAAAGCTAGCCTATGGAGCCTCAAGCTCCATAGAGAGGGCGGGACTAGAAAAAGTACTCTATATTAACGATTTTGATGGCAGACACAATAATAGATCTGAAATGGTGGCGGTGCGGAAGCAGAGATAGCCCGAAGGCTTCTTTCTTAATTCAATCTAATCTATTCTACTATAGGAAATTGAAGATAAGAATGAATAGACATCATCTAGGTTAATTCAATTATTATAATGATTCATATATTGTAAAATTGATTAGGTAACATTGTAGACATTTAACGTTTTGCCAAGCGCAATAGAGCCAAAAATCTCGTGGGAATAACAACTGATTGCGGTGAATAATACAGTTACAACCTTTTGTCTTTTAGTCATAAGGTTATCGAGAAAAAATAATCCAATTATAATATTCAAAAAGCATCTCTAACTGGCCGTATCATCAGATATCATGTATCTGAAATTGAGAAATCAATATTTGAGATAGAATATAATAACAATTGACAAAGTCATCACTTATAGCATATCTGGGTTCTTAATGTAAGTTTTAATACTGGGTGGACCATCAGGTTCACCCCTCTGTGACAGTATAGGGTTCAAGGTGAAATCTTGAAATTACGACATACAGTGTCTTCCTCTTGAGACCGAATAATTCCAGAGTGTCAAATTGATTAGATGTTCCGAATGGTTTTTAGGAAGCTGTGAGAGCCATACAATATTTTTGTTAGTGTTAGATGATTTCAAAATTCATCAACAACATTTCACTTTTATAATTCATGCTTGTTATCGTCACCACTCTATGAAAACAAAATAGTACAGGTAGTCCCGTAGGAGAAGTGTCAGTATTCTGTTTACGTTGGATCGCCGGTTCGCGGGTTCGAATCGAACTGACTTATTATTCGATTCGTAATTATTGTATACAGTTATCGTTGGGTATAAGGGTCCTGAAATTTTCTGGAGCGGGAGATATACTAAAAAATGCACTCTATCACCATCAAGTGGGGTCATCTTCAGTGATATAGACTGCTCGCCAACAGCTATGGAATCACCCCAATTTCCGGCAAATGATATAAGGAGGCAAAATAGGTTGAAAACCACTTAATTCGGATTCGAAATCAGGACGCATATAATTCAATAATTATCCATATTTTGCATCATCATCATCATATCATATCATACGTAACCGTTGGGTTAGGATCCTGAAATTCGCTAGAACAAGAGCAGATTAAGCAAAAATGCACTTTATGACCAAGTGGGGTCATCTTTAGTGATATACACTGCTCGCCAACAGCCATGAAACCACCCCAATTTCCGGAAAATATCGTTCAGGACAAATCACTCAGAACAAATCACTCAGAGAGGAGCTCAAGATATGTCAGACAGATTAATGGAATATGGAGATGTCCAAGATAAGTTTTCATGAACATTAAATCCGAATAAAAATCATATATTTCTATTTCATAGATGTAAATTATAATGAATAATATATTGCGCAGTCATCAGAGAAGCATATAATACTAATTCATTTTTTTTCCAGGACATTCCAGAAGGAATGTAAACTATGGCAGATATCTCATCATTCGAGATCCTGTACTCACAAGAACTCTATATAATCGTTCAGGACAAATCACTAAGAGGAGCTCATCAAGATCTGTCAGACAGATTAATAATGGCATATGAAGATGTCCAAGATAAGGAATAATGAAGCTACATATAAAGCCTCCCTGCGCATCAAGTCTCACAGACCCGGCGACCTGCTCGGAGGGTAAAAAAAAATAATAGGTTTCATTGGGGAGTGTATAATCTCTGGTTCATTGGAACAGCGAGAGCAATGGTTCCGTCGATCTTCTAATAGGTGGCGACATTGCACAATTATGACATCTGTCAGTTTTGAAATTGTCGCAGATTTTTCGAATTCAGAGTTGAATAAACCCGCTGTTACATATGTTCCGCGTACCTAAAATGCCATTCGTCATTTTATTTCCACTCGTCACAGCAGCAATAGCAGCATCTCCATCTAGCGGGGAAATGTAGAATCAACGTCTCGCTCGTTGTGACGTAGAGAAATCATAGTAGACAGTCGAGTGATTTTTCTGAAACGCGCACCATATCTTACTTCCATCCTTACTTCCTTCATTATCAGCTTCAGCCATGACGGGTAATGTGGATGAAATATTCCTCATATCTTCTTCTCCGTCATGTGAGAATTAAAAATGTGAGACGGCCAAGTCTTTGATCCATTTGAGGTTTTCTATTCGTTCAAATATATTACATCATTTTTTTCGAATAGTTTCGATGAAACTAGAGTCACTGGATGGTATTAGTTTGATAAGAGTTCGGACACAGCTGTACTTTTGTCCTTTTCTATTTTCTATAATACAATGGTTTAAGTGAATAAAAGAATAAGACATATATTCGGCTCTTTGTCTTTTCAATTTCCCTAGAAGCGCCTGATTGTCAAATACGATTTTAGAGGTTATATTTTCTGTCAAATCAATCATAGCCGTAGATGGACAATGGATATAGGGTACAAACACCCACTTAAATTTATAGTGATACCTACACTTCTAGCAGAACAACTGTTATATAAATGAGAAGAATGCATGTACCAACGTTTTAATATTAGAAAATATACACATATGGATAAACTCATAGCTATAAATCCTTATTGTATGTCAAACTGTACTCCAGTGCTAAGTATAAAACATGAAGTTATTAATATTTAATTAAAGGTAGGTATTCTCAATATACAGGAAGTAACATAAATACGTTCAAGTGAAGTATTCCTGAGACAATTTTAAGAAATAAAGTGTATATAAGCTTGTGTCCGGAAATGTTTCATTTCGGAGATAGAGGGTGATGAAACACAGAGAACAAATCATTTTTTGATAAACATTCCCTTGGAAAAAAGTAGTTAATTTTGACGAGACCTACCAAATACATTTCTCTGTAAAGTTCTCAGCAACTTCACTTAGCGCCTTAGAAGGTAAGCATCTAAGTAACATGGATCGATATACCAAATACATTTTTCTGAAAAGTTCTCAGCAACTTCAGTTAGCGCCTTAGGAGCTAAGCATCTAAGTAAAACATGGATCGATATAGAATAATTCACTTTTCACTGTTGAATTTTGAATTTGATCGGCACCAAAAACGCCATTCAATAATATATCACGTTGTAGTTTCCTTGCTTTTCTTAGTTTTGTTTTCAAATTTCCAATTTCATTATGTAATTTTACGGTCATGTCCTCTTTCCATGATTATTTTGTTCTGTATTTCGTGTGATGATAATAATGGAATTTTGAAATCGTCTGCTTTGTAAATTGATGGAATGGCAGATTCTCTAAAACAGATTTTGAAATCTTCTGTTCCAAACTGGACCTGAAATATAGTTTCATTCTGTGATCAGATGCTGTTATAAGAAGCTAATTTTAATGAGTACCTCACAAATTTCGCTCGTCTTGAAATTGATTTTCCACCCAGGCCGTTTCATATCTTCCTTCCATAAGCGAATGGTTGATATTTGTTTTGGAAAATTGAATAAATGATATCCATTTTTATCAGATTTGGCACACGTTATTACACAGAAAGTGATTTCCATAGCTGCTTTTTTCTCGAAAGTATAATTATTACATTTCATTTCAAATCTGACGTTCATAAAATTTACTGTCAAACAAATTTGAATAAAAAGCGCGGGACGACTATGGTGCTATTGTCACAATGCAAGGTGTGTAACTTAATGAATCTAAACATTCAAAAACCCTAACAGTTGTCATTTCTGTGTCCGAACTCTTATCAAACTAATAGCATCCAGTGACTCTAGATGAAACAGGCCATAGCTTTTAGGGCTATCCGGCAAAATTTTGTGATCTTTGACTTTGACACTGATCTAGTGACCTCACGTTTTAGTTTTAGTAGCGCCAACTGGTGAGAGTGAAATGTTACGTTGCCGTGAGCCGTGACCTTGGCGTGATGTTTGGGCAATGTGAATACAATGATGAATACTTGATGATCTAAGGATTTTCACCTGTTCTATCATCCTTATCATTTCTTATCTTTTTCAAATTGACAATATTGACATTGACATTATTTTGACATTTTGTTGAAAAACTTGAATTGAAATATGAATGAATGAATAACGAATGAGCATTGCATTTTGCATTTGCATTACTGTGCCCGCTTGAAAGCCATTGGTCTATCGTTTAATGAATATTTTTTATTTGTTTTCTGTTGAAACATTCCGATTTCTGGTTGTTTAATCGAAAATATACTAAATCATTTACTTGTTTGGATGTATTCTCTTTTAGCGTTCTTCAAGATTTTTGTATTTGCAACAGTTGTTAGTGGAAATCAATTTGAAAAACATGAAAGTGGTATATTTCAATGATTTTGTGAAGTGTTGAAAATTCATCATATCAAACCAGAAAATAAAACACAGTATGTCTACTAAAAGAAGATGTTGGGTGCCCACCTGTTTGAATCCGGACTTAGATCCAAAGAAAAAGTTTTTCACCTTACCAGAGAATGCACAAGCCAGAGAAGTATGGCTTGCACTTTCAGGAAAGCCTATTGAGTCAATCTCCACAGAGATATTCTTCTGCCAAGACCATTTCTCTGTAAGTTCATCCAATGTTTACTTATATACACCTATTTATTTTGTATCTTGTTCAAGACACAAGACATTATAAGGATGGATGAAAACAAACAATATCAGAATAGGCATAAAATATTACCCAGCAATTATATGCCTGATAGAATGTGTGGGACTTGTATGTCTCTGATTCCACCTGAACAGTCCTTTCATATTGTGAGTAGTAAATTTCCTAGTGAGATGCCACCAGTTGTCAAAGTAAGTATATATTATCATGTATTCATCCCCTATTTTATCTATTTATAATATTAATAATAATATGTCTTGATTTATACCACCCTACAAAAGGGCAAGGGCAGAATTCAGTAGAACACGTTCCTAGAATGGAGGAGGCTGCTCTTCCATTCCATTATGGAACCTAGGTAGTAATGATCCTACAATAGCTTCAAGGCTTACTTATTAATTTTATTAATTAGTTGTGTCTTCAATAATTAACATATATTGGGCTCCAGATCTATCTGTTTAGCATCACAAATGGTCCAGTTTTTAGGTGGTTTCTGTTTGAGAAAAATCAAAATCAAAAAATGACCACTGTAAAAGCTAAATATGCATAATGTATTAGTATGATCAGTCTTTCAAACTATGAAAGGGAATATCTAGATATAGGTACCTAATCAAAACTCAACAGATGTTAAATCTCCCAGATCAGATAAAGTTGACCCTTTTCAGTGGATGTTCCAAGTGGTTAATGTCCAATATGTGTACATTTGGTGTCCAATCCTGATGTAATTCATCTAATTCAAGGTCCAATCTTTGCCCAATATTCCTAATCTCTCACCTTCGAAGGTCCAATCTCATATTTTTAATATTCAATAATATTGGTCCAATGTTACTTTCAATCTGTCCAATCTATGTATGTTTTTGGGAGACTGGATTACCCTTTGGGCTGTTCATCTATTGTATTATTGTTCATCATAGTCCAGTCATTATAGACTTTGACCCCTGAATAATCAAGCTTTTGCATATGTTCGAAAACTGTTTAAAAAACGTTTTTTTTTTAATAACTGGGCTATTTTTGATTCTACAGAAAAAGTTTGGGGACAAAAATTGTAGTAAATTTGGTTCTCTACAAGTTTGGTCCTCACAATTTTTCTGATAGGATCGATATTTTGTAAATTAAACCTGAAAAAAGCGACATATTCGAAATATTTTCATTATCTCGTTTATTTTCAACTTTACGGCATAAATGAAGAGGACTAAACTTGTGGAGAATCAAATTCTAAACAATTTTGATTACTACGTTTTTGTTCCAAAAATCGATATTTTGGGAATTAAACCTGAAAAACGCGACAAATTCAAAAGATTATCATTATCTCCAATGCTTCGCATTTTACAGCATAAATGAAGAGGTTATACCGCGCAGGTAGCTTGTCTGTCATGTCGGTGTGAAAAAATGGTTCCGGAACTATTTTTTTTACCAAATTTGTCCAAAATTTGATTCTCTACAAGTTTGTTTCTTCTCATTTATGGTGTAAAGTTGAGAATAAACGAGATAATGATGATATTTCGAATGAGTCGTTTTTTTAGGTTTAATTCCGAAAATATCGATTTTTGGAAAAACAGGTGTAGACAAAATTTGTCCAAAATTTGATTCTCTACAAGTTTGTTTCTGTTCATTTATGCCGTAAAGTTGAAAAAAAAAAAAACGAGATAATGAAAATATTTCGAATTTGTCGCTTTTTTCAGGTTTAATTTACAAAATATCGATCCTATCAGAAAAATTGTAAGGACCGAACTTGTAGAGAACCAAATTTACTACAATTTTTGTCCCCATACTTTTTCTGTAGAATCAAAAATGGCCGAGTTATTCAAGAAAAACCGTTTTTACATAGGCAAAAGCTTGATTTGGTCGCCATTTTGAATTTACACTCCCAGTGACCCCCCCGACCTATGAAAAAAAAACCACTAAAAAACACGGGTAAGGTCCGTTATTTGGATATAATGACTGGACTATCAATAATGAATCCAATGAACTTGATTGAAATGAATGAGAGTAGCAAGTTGTCAATTTTTCAACAAATATTTTTTTTACAGGAAATTTTAAATTTTATGGTTCCAAGTGAACCTGAGCCTCTCCATCAAATATTCACTTTTTGTATGAAAGATCTGGTAAGTTGAAATATTGAATGAATTGTTATCTTGGTATACATATTGCATATTCACATAATTTTTCACCCAAAAAAATTATAATTTTGCTAATTTTGAGAATACCTTGTCATGGCCCATATTGATCAAAAGTTCAACAGTCTTAACCTCTAAAAACATGACAAACCACAAACTCATTTTTTCACCCTGTTTATCATTTCACCTATTCTATTTCAATCACTGTTTTGATCCTGGCCAGAGGAGAGGAACATAAATTATAAATTCTAATTTTCATAGCCTTGACTGGGATTTGTTAAAATATTACAAAGTTGAATGCATAGATAAGAAGTTTAGAGTGTTAAAAGGCCTCCTTGCTGTATTCAATGTCTGCTTGTATATTTTTTCTTAAAGAATTAGATGAAAAGAGGGCTGCACCTCTTTCACCTATAGCTCTGTGCATGTAATGTATTGATTTTCAATTTGTGTGTTTTATACAGTGTGTTACAATTTGGTCTACCCTCAGGTCTACCCTACCCATGTACTTTCGTATTCCTAGGATGATTCAATTACTTTTTTTTCCATAATTTACTCAAAATTAGCTACTTTGTCCAGCAAACAAAATTTTCAATTCAGAATTTCTCATCTTAGCCTACTGTGATCACAAAAACTCCAGCAAAATTAAAGTAAAGGTATTAGGCTTCTTTAAAATTTGATGATGGCAATTGATTTTGACTAGCCACAATCACACCTACATCAATTTTCAAAACAATATATCACTAGGAGTGTTATAATTTTTGAATAATAGCGTTTTTCAAGTCACCCTGTATAATAATGATTTCAACAATTTGAATAATACCATACATGCTGTTAGTCAGTGGTAGTCAGGATTGGATCAACTGGATACAGAGTGAGAAAGTTAGGCCAAGAAATAGAAAAGAGTTATGATGAAGAATAATAACATCTTGCAGAGAGATATTATTTAGTTTTTTCCTTGGTTTTTTCTTCTACTATTTTTTTCTTGATAAAAATTCAAATTGCTGGTGATTTTATATGCAATTTATCTCACTCTGCAAACAGATGCTCTCATCCTGACTACCAATACTACCATGATGCCTGGTATCATTCAAATTCTTATACACCCTGACTTCAAAAATGCAATTATTCAAAAGTTGTAATGTTGATAAAATCACCCCTTATGAGATATTGTTTTGAAAATTGATATAGGAGTATTTGTGACTAGTCTAAATCAATTGCCATTATGAAAATTTTCTAGAGTTTCTGTGATCACACTTGGTCAAGAAATTGTGTTTTGATAATATTTGTTTGCTCCACAAAGTAGGTAATTCTGAGTAGTAAATTATGGAAGAAAAACAATTTCAAATCATCCTAGGTATACAAAAGTACAGGGGTGGGGTGGACCGAATTGTAACACACTGTACATCTGAAAGGACAAATCGCGAAAAAATTGATTTTGATTATCATGTCTTGAATTAAGTATATTGGATGTGTCTGATTTCAATCAGGAAAATTTGATACAATAGAGTGTTGGCAAACATAAAACGAAAATTTCATACAAACTTGTATGTTTTGGAGCTTAGTTTTTGAGATACATGGTGTTGACTTTAGGTGTGGTCAGTGACTGACAAATTGTCAAAATCTCCAAATTATACTCATTATGGCTATCAAGTGATCTTAAGAGATAGTTTTGTCTTCTATTGTTAAATTGAAATAATATGTATACAATTTTTGCCATAAATATTGAACTGATATTTCCCTGAGAGGGACTAGAACATCATCAAGAAGAGAGGTCATCTTTTAAGAAGGTGATAACAATATTGTCTGCAAGAATTGTCAGATGACCGACCCTGGAGGTGAAACATTGAAACACAACCTAACGTTTCTTATTTGTTTATAAATGATTGAAATAGTTTTTCACAATTATTTTGCCATACGAATCGTATTTTTCGGCTATTTATCAATTCGCTCATGCCATCACATTGTGCTGTTGTAAAATGCACAAAAACTGCAGCGGAAGACGAAGGAATCCGCTATAGTCACTCACATATAGTAAGTTAAATTTGGTAATTTCTCTGATTTCTCATCGGAATTCCTTCTGCAATAGGAACTAATAGAAATACTGAGGAAATTTCTGAAAGAATGCACGGGAGGACAGTATCAGCCTCTATTGCAGAAGTGGCAGAAGGAATTTTGATAAGAAATGACAACATTTCATACTGAAAATTATGTGAGATTACTATTTACCTGAAAAATCATATTCCATCGTCTCCCTGCATTTTTTGTATATTGTACAACAGCACAATGAGAAGGCAAGCTTGAATTAATGAATAGCGCAAAAAACACGATTCCTATGCCAATATATTGTGAAAAACTATTTAAAAAAGTGTTTAAAAGTGTTTTTAACCGCCAGCTTAGTTGCAAAGCAACCCTCGAAAGTCAGAGACTTGTGTGAGTTAATTTCAATCCTTTGATTCCTCTGTAAACAAATTAAGAAAGTGAGGTCCCGTTTCAATGTTTTACAGTAAAGTGAGGTTGTGTTTCAATATTTCACCTCCAATAATGTGCTTTTTCTCAACTACTCTTTCCTGTCAACTCCTATAATCCAACAAAAATTTTCAAAAAATTAATTTACAAGAATCCAGTTGAAAGATAAGCGTTATCTGCTAGATCAGAATTGAAAATTCGTTCTAACGTTTTTGTTTCATAGTTGTTCATTGAACCGGTTAATGTTTGCCGTGCAAATTGAAGAGCAGTTCTAATGACATTTCGTTTGTTCTTTCTGAATCTGATAGAATGTTCCTAGAAAAGTGATCAGTGATCACAAAGTGAACTTTTTTGACGTAATAATAAAACATGAATTTTTCCCAAGCCTGCATCTGTTTTATTTTTCATAATATGCCTTCTTGAATAGATCCAATAAAGAAACGTCGCTGCCAAATTTCAGCAAATTAACATGAATCATTTCTGAAATATCGGTGATCAAAGTTATAAGGCAATTTCATAGATGACCAACAAACATAACTGGTCTTGATTTCCTCTGTATCCCATTTGGCTATGTGACACTTCGCATGAATCACTCTGTATAAGGATGGACCGGACAGCAGGAGTCAGTCAGACAATCGGTTTTACATAAATAGTAGTTATAAGTTTGTTACAAATAAGTGTTTCTTCAAGTAAGTAAATCAGTTTGCGAATAAATAGTGGAACAATATCAATCAGGTTACCATCAGGCATGGTGGAATTATAGGAATGGTGTGCTACGACGCATCTTCGTATACGTTACTGCGAGTAAAGCAATTGCTCATAGTCTGAGTTCACAATTATCAGTTTCCCCGAGTCGCCGTGATCATTTTGGTGCTAGTATAGACTCGCAATAACGTTATGCGCAGAAAAGACGAATTTAATATACCTGAGTAGCACACCTATTATAGATAGATAGATAGATAAATAAACTTTATTTTCCTTTTTAGACAATTACATTTCATATTGTATAGGAATCGTCAATAGGTCTTACAAACTAAAGGGACATATACTCATCTACACTATAAAAACAGTTATGTAACAGAAACTCTTTCAATCTTCTTTTAAACACAACCAATGTTTCACAGTTCTTTATGTTTATTGGCAGTATGTTGAAAATTCATGGGGCCATGAGATTAGGAGAATTGTATGTTAATTTACATTCACCAAATGGGACATATACATCATTTTTTTGCCGGGTATTCACATTATGTTTGGATTTGTTGAGAACAAAATATTCATCATAATTTTTGAAAACAAATACACAATATTCAAATATTAAAAGACAAGGTAATGTTAAAATTGTATAGTTGATGAATATATTTCTGCAGGATTCTCTCATAGGAACACCTACCATTATTCGTACTATTCTTTTTTGAGCTATAAAAACATCTTTCCAGAAACATAAACCATACCTAAGTCTAGAGTCAATCTGTGCGTAATACAAGGTCAACAATTGATCAATATTCAAAACTTGTTTCAAGTTCCTCAATTGATATGATATTGTGTTCAATTTCTTTGTTAATAGTGCACAATGGTTATGCCACCCCAAACATTGGTCGATAGAGAGTCCCAGAAATTTGGTGCTTACACTATCTGTAATAACGAGATCAGAATTTTCCTTTGCCTGGAAAGTGATAAAGTCACAACTTTTCTGACGATTGTGGAATCGAATGGAAACTGTTTTATCAACATTCAAGTAAAGGTTATTTGCAGAAAACCATCTATTCAAATCTTGAAAAACTTGATTGCATTTATCGTTGAGGGCTGAATCATTCTTATCAGAGATAATTATGGACGTATCATCTGCATACATGGTCATAAATGTATCAATTGACTTATCGAGGTCATTAACATAGAATAGAAATAATACAGGTCCCAAAATTGATCCTTGTGGAACCCCTAATTATGTTGAAATGAAGTATATTTCCACCATGCCCTCAGGAACGCTACTGGAAGAATTATGGTGAATCTAGTTGCGTCAAAAGATACATTTCCATAATCCAAACAAATTGACTAAGTTCAATGAACATCCGCTTCAAAACATACAGGTTCACATGAACTTATTTTTACTTTTACGACAGTTTTATCGCCTATTCAAATTTCCCTATTGGAATCTGAAACACCCTGTGCATCAGATTATTTTTCACATGTCGAAATCTATAGATTAATCTTCTGTATTTGCTGAAAAAGCTTTCAAACAAACTAAATTATTTGAAATTAATTATGCCTTATTGTATAGTTGCCTTTGTAAAAGATAATCTTATTCTTTGGATAATAAATTACTTATCTCTTTCAATTGAGGTCTTTTCTATCTTGAACGAGAGAGAGGAATTGAAATATAGAGAGGTCCGATGAATCTTTCCTTGTCTAATATCTACTTTGTGCCGCTGAACTATTTTTCAATTCAGCAGAGTGTCAAATTTAACGATATTAACAAATTATGTCAAAATAAGTATGATATAAATCAAAATTTCATTTTGAAAATTCGAAATGTCATCAGTCAATGACATTCATGACATAGACATATCACGTCATTACCCAGCGAGCACAAAAACATCTCAGAGATGTTGAAAGTACGAGATTTCGAGACATTGAACCTCCACTGCGATGTTCTGTTCACACATGAATAGAACTATTATAGAACAGCCAATGTCCGCCGCAGGCGGCAATTATCGAGATGTCCTTGATATGTCACAAAACTGCCTTCTCCCTAGTTCTTTTTAAAGCCTTTTCATGGACACAACAGAACATTTTCAACGCGTCTTGCGCACATTAAATCGCTGTAAAAAAAACATTTTCGAGGTACTTTTCTGAAGCTTTTTGTCAAAATGAACTATTGCATTAGGATTCCATTTCCCTTGAATGAAAAAATGCATTAAAAATAGATTGAACATATTGAAAAATATTTTCTTGAATGAAATTACCTTCTCAATCGGTTTCTGAGTAGTGCTTACTACACACAGACATATAATTGGAAATAGGTTTCCCAATTTTTGAAGCTGTGTATTGATGAATTCGTACTTTCATATATTGATTACACTGAGGCACCAAACAACACATCTTGCATCTGATGGTCATTATTACAAACTAAATAAGTTTTCTAACACAATAAACTTCACCAAATTCCTTTCTGTTCCTTAGCATCGTGATGTAAGCGTGACACGCTGCAAACGCGAATACAAGAAGAACAAAATCGAAAAAAAAAACAGAATTCATCGTATTGTGACGTGAGCATGAGATGTTGTGGTGGGGCAAACAAAGAAAGGGCACAAAAGAACAAAAACAATACTTTCAATATCCTTCTAAGACCTCTTTGGGAAGTACATATTACGCCTCAAAAAAACATCCTCATGCCTACATTTCTAAAACATCCCAAAACATCCCAGGGATACCTCTCAGTAGGCCAACAAAGAAATGCCACAGAAGAACAAAAACAATACTTCAATATCCTTCAAAGACCTCTTTGGTCAGTGCATATTACGTCTCAAAATAACATCTTCATGCCAACATTTTCAAAACATTCCAAAACATCCCAGGAATGTTATAGTTTAGTGGCGCAGACTAGAGGTTAGATAAGGAAAGATTTATCGGACCTTTCTATATTTCAATGCGGCCATGTTGGTAGTAGCATTGAAGAGAAAGATGGAAGAGGGAACTTTCCTGTCTCTCGTTCAAGGTAGAAAAGAGCTCAATTATGCTTGAAGATCAAAACAATGAGCGCAGTTATAATTTTTGTTCAAATTTCCATGAAATTTTCAGAAATTACCCAGGGACCCACCACCTGTTGCTTGTAATGAGTGTTACATTAATGCTTGGGTATACTTTGTGTTCAAAATGACTTGTATAGAAGTAGAAAAAGATTTGAAAGCTGACATGTCTTGGGAGAATTATGGAAAGAAAGTGCTGTGTCGGTCGTGTCCTCAGACTATGGGGACCAACTTCATATCTTTATTGTCTAGTCCAAATATGGCTAATTTGTTGCGGAATATGTTCATTGGTGATTGTCCACCTCCAGTAAGTGATTTTTATTACCTATCTATTTTCAGGAAATTTTATTTACAAGCCTTTCATTCAAAATAAGCGATACGCCCTCTTACGGATATTCAAGTAACTAATGGAAAGTACATTGATTGTTTGTTTATATATTGATGAAATAAACCTCTGGTGCGCTCACTCTTCATTTGTTTCGCCAGACTGGTTCTTGATATAAACAATTGAATTTCAGACGATGACGTGGGGTTCACATATCGAATGTTAGATGGCGTGATTCTTAGAACTTATGATCAACATCAGTTCTACCAACCTTGATGCGGCTAAATCGCAAAATGTATTCCCTATCTTCATTGGTCACAATTCGGTCACAATTGTCACATTGATGCCTGTAATTTTGGTACGGCACCAGACTAAATTTAGCGACATTCACCCACGCCATGTTATGTTCATCGAAGTAGGCGAAAATCAAGGAATTGTAAAACAGGAAAGGATTGGAGTGCGTACACCAGAGGTTTATTTCATCAATGTTTATATTCAAGTTTAGTCTTGAATCATTATTGCTTGGTTTGGCATGTTATTCATGAAAGTTTTCTCACTGCATTCCATAGAAAATGATGATTTCAATCGGTGTATAATTGAAAGATTTTCTCTCAACTTCGAGATTGAATTCAGTATTCCCAGAAGTGAAACGTTACAGTAGGAATTTGAAGAAATTAAATCCCTACTCAAAAGCAAAGCCTGTATCAGAGCTATCCCAAAGCATTGTGCTTAGTGATGGGTAAAGCACTTGGAGCATTTTTTCGCTCGTAAGCACTGTGTTCCCGAGCAATTTTTTGAACCAGGGCGTAGTGCTTGGTCCTTCGAGCATTTGACAGAGAAACTTATCCCTCAGCACTAATCCATTCCATACTTACTACTTGTCAAATCATGAAAACGTGGCCGGTAACACCTCCACTCAAGAAGAATTGAAAATGAATATGTTGAGAAATCGCATTCTCATTTTGGCCGAATTATCGCTTTTCCAGAAGAAAATGACACGCTGAATCAAATGAGACCATGATCAGCCCGATAGGACAGATAGTTTTTGAGATATCTGCGCTCAAAGTCAGCTTTCTGCTTTTATTGCCAATGGGAGCAATCCGGTAGGCTACTACGTCTCCATTTTCCGAAATTTCTCGATTTCCAATACAGATTCGTTCTTTTCGACATCGAATTAGTCTATTTGAATTTTTTCAGATTTTTAATAGGCCAAATAAAAATTTTCATTTTCCTACCTCAGACTTCAGTACGATATAGTCACCGAGCTATCTTCGGACGGCCGAAAGTGCCAGAAAACGGCGGAAATTCACGCGAATTATCGCTTTTCCAGTAGAAAATGACACGCTGAATCGAATGAGACTACGATCAGCCCGATAGGACAGATAGTTTTCGAGATATCGACGCTCAAAGTCAGCTTTCCGATTTCATTGCCAATAGGTGCACTCCGGTAGGCTACTACGTCTCAATTATTCAAAATTTACTACTTTTCACCACAGATTCGTTCTTTTCGACATCGAATTAGTCTAGTTGAATTTTTTCAGATTTTTTATAGGCCAAATAAAAATTTTCATTTTCCTACCTGAGACTTTAGTACGATATAGTCACCGAGCTATCTTCGGACGGCCGAAAGTGCCAGAAAACGGCAAAAATTCACGCGAATTATCGCTTTTCCAGTAGAAAATGACACGCTGAATCGAATGAGACCATGATCAGCCCGATAGGACAGATAGTTTTTGAGATATCTGCGCTCAAAGTCAGCTCTCTGCTTTTATTGCCAATAGGAGCAATCCGGTAGGCTACTACGTCTCCATTTTCCGAAATTTCTCGATTTCCAATACAGATTCGTTCATTACGACATCGAATTAGTCTATGTGAATTTTTCCAGATTTTTATTTGCCCAAATAAAAATTTTCATTTTCCCACCTGAGACTTCAGTACGATATAGTCACAGAGCCATCTTCGGACGGCCGAAAGTGCCAGAAAACGGCGGAAATTCACGCGAATTATCGCATTTACAGTAGAAAATGACACGCTGAATCGAATGAGACTACGATCAGCCCGATAGGACAGATAGTTTTCGAGATATCGACGCTCAAAGTCAGCTTTCCGATTTCATTGTCAATAGGTGCACTCCGGTAGGCTACTACGTCTCAATTATTCAAAATTTCCCGATTCCCAACACAGATTCGTTTATTACGACATCGAATTAGTCTATGTGAATTTTTTCAGATTTTTAATTGCCCAAATAAAAATTTTCATTTTCCTACCTGAGACTTCAGTACGATATAGTCACCGAGCTATCTTCGGACGGCCGGAAGTGCCAGAAAACGGCAAAAATTCACGCGAATTATCGCTTTTCCAGTAGGAAATGACACGCTGAATCGAATGAGACCATGATCAGCCCGATAGGACAGATAGTTTTTGAGATATCTGCGCTCAAATTCAGCTTTCTGCTTTTATTGCCAATGGGAGCAATCCGGTAGGCTACTACGTCTCCATTTTCCAAAATTCCCCGATTCCCAACACAGATTCGTTTATTACGACATCGAATTAGTCTATGTGAATTTTTTCAGATTTTTATTTGCCCAAATAAAAATTTTCATTTTCCCACCTGAGACTTCAGTACGATATAGTCACCGAGCCATCTTCGGACGGCCGAAAGTGCCAGAAAACGGCGGAAATCCACGCGAATTATCGCTTTTCCAGTAGAAAATGACACGCTGAATCGAATGAGACCATGATCAGCCCGATAGGACAGATAGTTTTCGAGATATCTGCGCTCAAAGTCAGTTTTCTGCTTTTATTGCCAATAGGAGCAATCCGGTAGGCTACTACGTCTCCATTTTCCAAAATTCCCCGATTCCCAACACAGATTCGTTTATTACGACATCGAATTAGTCTATGTGAATTTTTTCAGATTTTTAATTGCCCAAATGAAAATTTTCATTTTCCCACCTGAGACTCCAGTACGATATAGTCACCGAGCCATCTTCGGACGGCCGAAAGTGCCAGAAAACGGCAAAAATTCACGCGAATTATCGCTTTTCCAGTAGAAAATGACACGCTGAATCGAATGAGACCATGATCAGCCCGATAGGACAGATAGTTTTTGAGATATCTGCGCTCAAAGTCAGCTTTCTGCTTTTATTGCCAATAGGAGCAATCCGGTAGGCTACTACGTCTCCATTTTCCGAAATTTCTCGATTTCCAATACAGATTCGTTCATAACGACATCGAATTAGTCTATGTGAATTTTTTCAGATTTTTAATAGGCCAAATAAAAATTTTCATTTTCCTACCTCAGACTTCAGTACGATATAGTCACCGAGCTATCTTCGGACGGCCGAAAGTGCCAGAAAACGGCGGAAATCCACGCGAATTATCGCTTTTCCAGTAGAAAATGACACGCTGAATCGAATGAGACCATGATCAGCCCGATAGGACAGATAGTTTTCGAGATATCGGCGCTCAAAGTCAGCTTTCTGCTTTTATTGCCAATAGGAGCAATCCGGTAGACTACTACGTCTCCATTTTCCAAAATTCCCCGATTTTCAACACAGTTTCGTTAATTATGGCATCGAATTAGTCTATGTGAATTTTTTCAGATTTTTAATAGGCTAAATGAGAATTTTCATTTTCCCACCTGAGACTTCAGTACGATATAGTCGCCGAGCCATCTTCGGACGGCCGAAAGTGCCAGAAAACGACGGAAACCCACGCGAATTATCGCTTTTCCAGTAGAAAATGACACGCTGAATCGAATGACACCATGATCAGCCCGATAGGACAGATAGTTTTTGAGATATCGGCGCTCAAAGTCAGCTTTCCGATTTTATTGCCAATAGGAGCAATCCGGTAGGCTTCTACGTCTCCATTTTCCAAAATTTCCCGATTTCCAACACAGATTCGTTTATTCCGACATCGAATTAGTCTATGTGAATTTTTTCAGATTTTTAATAGGCCTAATAAAAATTTTCATTTTCCCACTTGAGACTTCAGTACGATATAGTCGCCGAGCCATCTTCGGACGGCCGTAAGTGCCAGAAAACGACGGAAACCCACGCGAATTATCGCTTTTCCAGTAGAAAATGACACGCTGAATCGAATGACACCATGATCAGCCCGATAGGACAGATAGTTTTTGAGATATCGGCGCTCAAAGTCAGTTTTCCGATTTTATTGCCAATAGGAGCACTCCAGAAGGCTACTACGTCTCCATTTTCCAAAATTTCCCGATTTCCAACACAGATTCGTTTATTACGACATCGAATTAGTCTATGTGAATTTTTTCAGATTTTTAATAGGCCTAATAAAAATTTTCATTTTCCCACCTGAGACTTCAGTACGATATAGTCGCCGAGCCATCTTCGGACGGCCGTAAGTGCCAGAAAACGACGGAAACCCACGCGAATTATCGCTTTTCCAGTAGAAAATGACACGCTGAATCGAATGACACCATGATCAGCCCGATAGGACAGATAGTTTTTGAGATATCGGCGCTCAAAGTCAGCTTTCCGATTTTATTGCCAATAGGAGCAATCCGGTAGGCTACTACGTCTCCATTTTCCAAAATTTCCTGATTTCCAACACAGATTCGTTAATTACGACATCGAATTAGTCTATGTGAATTTTTTCAGATTTTTAATAGGCTAAATGAAAATTTTCATTTTTCCACCTGATACTTTAGTACGATATAGTCGCCAAGCCGTCTTCGGACGGCCGAAAGTGCCAGAAAACGGCGGAAATCCACGCGAATTATCGCTTTTCCAGTAGAAAATGACACGCTGAATCGAATGAGACCATGATCAGCACGATAGGACAGATAGTTTTTGAGATATCAGCGCTCAAAGTCAGCTCTTCGCTTTTTTGTCGATAGGAGCAATCCGGTAGGCTACTAGGTCTCCATTTTCCAAAATTTCTCGATTTCCAACACAGATTCGTTTATTACGACATCGAATTAGTCTATGTGAATTCTTTCAGAT